AAGTAGATTGCCCCATCTTCCTTCCGAGGAGTGGCTGGTGGGTTTGAACCTCCAGCCTTCTGGTTAGCAGTCAAGTGCCTTAGCCACTGTGCTACCAGTCTCACAAATCTTGTTTTCATCACAGAATAATAGAAGGGAAATGACACTAATATAAATGACCTAGGGAAAGGTCCTAAAGAATTACATGCTTTATTTAGAACTTTAAAGACATCTACTTTTACTGACTCGGAGCTGCGTAATAATATTTGCAGATTTAGCATTAAGACAGAGAAATGTTTACTTAGAAACAGATGAACAGTTTGTTGAACCAGAAGTGGTTTGTAAACTTGAAATTGCTTTATAAATGTAAATGATTATTTTATTTATTGTTGAATCTGAAGAGCCATGCCAAGTTATGTTTAATCTTTTAAGGACCCTGCCCTTTGGCCTAGGTGGGGAAAAATCTGTGCCCAGCACTGTTCTAACCTTTTACTTGTGTTACATACATCATTTGATTTCCTTTAATCCTCACAACAACCCTCTAAAAAGTTGGCATTACAATTCTTGTTTTATTACTGAGATTCTAAAAGGTTAAGTAATTTTCTTGAGGTCACAGAGGAAATATGTCATCATACTTTTTCTGTTTTTCGTATTTCATTGATGTCATCCCCCTCTGAGCTGTTTCTTGAGTATTGCTTTATATGTATAATATATGTAATATATTACATTTTATATTTATGTGTGTAGCATATGTAATATATTGCTTTATGTGTGATACTGCAGCAAAGGCATGACAATGACAACTGGCCTTCATATTCACAATAGTATTAATATATGAACAGACTCTACTCTATTATTAGTATCAGATATTAATATATGGGAAATGAGCCATATGTAACAAAAGCAGGGAGTTAAACCACATTTATCACATATTTATGTGAAAGAAGCTTATCTCCCTATAATACTCATATTTTTCAAGGGCAGCTAAGATTTTTATCCTGAATTTAAAGATCCTATTATATGTCAGAAGGAAATATGATACTCAGATCTACTTACAGATAAATTATTCAGCTTTGGGGACAGTATTATGGTGATTTAAGGAAGAAGAATATTAGAGAAATTCTTTGTGTTCACAGTAAACTTTAAATAAGTTTAATTAGTTAATAGTCTGTCCATCTTTCATACTTTATGTAACACCTAGTACGGTGGTCATAAGCCTTGATAGAAAGTTTGATCATAATTCAGTGCAGAAATTAGAACTTTGAAAATCTTCATGGATTTCTTTTTGCTTTTTCTGCTAGGAATTCAATAACTAAACTTAGTGTTCATTGGTAAAATAGACTTCTAACTCAATGTTTGTGTACCTCCTCTCCATAAATCATGGATAATCTCAACGTCCCATCTCCACCCTTGACGTTTTGTTATTGTCCTTTTTTTATATCGCTTTATGGTAGACCACAAATCCTTTTTGGAAAAAGGAAGGATATAAACTATAAATGAGTTAATAAATTATAAAACAAATTTGGCTGTGATGAAATTAATGACCATGATCTTTTGGCTATGCCAAAAATGAGAAAAATGTGTATCAGCTCATAAAATATGGCATGCTTCTAAACCAAAACCCACTGCCATCAAGTCAATTCCGACTCTTACCAACCTTATAGGACAGAGTAGAATTGCCCCATTGGGTTTCCAAGTCTGTAAATCTTTATGAAAGCAGACTGCTTCATCTTTCTCCCACGGAAGGGTGGTAGGTTCAAATTGCCAACCTTTTGTTTAGTGGCTGAATATTTTAACTACTACACCACCAAAGCTCCTGGCACATTCCTAATGGTCAGTAAATCAGCCTTGGAGTGGATATTCTAGTACTAAATACTTTCATCTTCTTAACCACGATTTTCTCAGCATCAGGGGCCGGTGGTGATTATACACAGGCAAAGTCAAACTAGAGAAGGAAGCGAATGAGCCACCCACCCAAATACATTTTAGATCTACATATTTAAAAAAGAACTCATTCTATCTGCCTCATAAAGAAGCGGAAACTCACAGAAAGACCAAGAACTATCTTTAAAAAAAAAAATTCAAATCCCAGTGGACTGAGAATACCCCTCAAGATCCTTAACAGGTCAAATGACATTGCTCTTTATTATTGAAATGTCTGCCATATCATTAATGGGAATTTGTACTGTAAGATGTTTTAACCAAAAATATATATAAACTGAGGTCTTGATAAATAATAAATGTATTGATTTATTTCATATGGCTAAGCCTTCCCTAAAAGTATGCTTAATGCCCTCTAGAGTGCAGTGAAGCCCAGATCTCTATTGTCTTTAATTGTGATTTCTTGTTTTTATACTCAACTTCCTATTACTAGTGAGGATTCTCAAGAAATATACACTGCTGGGAATTTTTATGTCTCATAATCACATTTTCCTTCCAGATTCAAAATAAAACAGAAAAGAAACCTGGAACACCACTTCCACCTCCAGCTACCTTTCCAAGCAGTCCCCAACCTCTCTCCCCTGTTCCTCATGTGAATAATGTTGTGAACGCACCATTGTCCATAAACATTCCACGGTTCTACTTTCCTGAAGGACTCCCAGACACCTGTAGTAATCATGAACAAACTCTGACCAGAATTGAAACAGCTTTCATGGATATTGAAGATCAGAAAGCAGACATATATGAAATGGGCAAGATTGCAAAGGTAATAATGTAATTACTAAATAATTTATAATCTCCCTTTCTCTCCCCTTCAGTGCCATTTTCTTCTCTGTTTTTAAGCATGTATAGGTTTTTTCCATATTGAAAAATACTTGTTTGACCTTGATGCTTCTATTGTAGACCCTAAATTAAAAAAAAAACAAAAAACTAAGCACAGTAAGGGTCTTGCAGCCCAACCTCCCATTTAAAATAGGAATCCCTTCTATAATATCAGTGACACATAAACTGAGTGTTTGCTTGAATGCTTCCAGTGACTGGAAGCTCATTTCCTTGCCAAGTAGACCATCCCATCATTAAATAGATGCTTGTCAGAAAGCTCTTCTTTATGTTGGATAGGAATCTCTCTCCTTGTTCTCATCCTTTGAATGTAACTTTTTTACATAAGGAACCATTAGACTAGTTCAACACTGACATTTTACAAAAAGTGATACTACGATCCAAAAATAGATAGATTTGCCTCTAAGGAGCAAATCTTCGTTACTTTCCAATATATCCAACTACTTCTAATTTAAGATCTTAGCCCCTAATGCCAGGACTCCTGTACAAACCTTATTAACTTGATTCCACACCTCCAGTCTCCTCCTGGAACAGTCAGTACCGAGCAGGACCATCAGATTTCTATTTGGTCATGCCATTCACCAGCTCAACAATCCTCAGGGACCCCCACCATCTATAGTAGTACTTTGTTTTATTTGAGTTTTATTTTTATCATGCACACATTTTGAAGAGTCAGGTGATATCTAAGGTTTGGCATTGGTTTCAAAGCTGTGCTTCAAGAGGCAGAGAGGTTCAGTGGTCTGAAGGCTGCTGTGGAGGCAAGTGGGGAACCACATGAGTGGGGCTCCCAAAACTATCCCATACATCCATTGGGAAGATGTCACCTGCTTACAATAATAATATTGAAAACTACTAGTGTACAGGATAAAATCCTCTTCCTGGCATCGTATGGCCTCCACAGTCTGACCCCACAGGTATTTTCCAAACCCATCTAACCCTGCATGAACCTGACCCACTTGCCCTCTCATAGGGCATACCTCTGCCTTTGAGCACTCATAGTTCTTCCCTCTAAAATGGACTTCCAATCCTGACCCCCATGTCACCTATCTTGAAGACCTAGTTCCATCATATCTGTTCAGAGAAGACTGAATGCTTACTGCAGTCATGCCCTGTCCTCTCTCCCCCACCTCTGATCTCACAGAGCATTTGTAATTGTTAAATTGTTTATAACTAGAGTGATTTCAAGAGGAATGGAAAAGGTTTCTTTCTTCTATTCCTACCCTTTCTATATCTACCATGTTAGAACTTGCTTTTTGATCCCTTAGATGTTTCTAAGGAAAATTAAACTCTTTCATTCCAGCAATAATAGCTCACTTGTTTTCTACTATATTTTACACATGAGAAAACTGGAGTCCAGCAAGTACTTAACTACAGTCAAAGAACTAATCCATGTCAGGAGACAGGTCCTATAACTCCAACATGCTGCTGATTCTACTATATGTTTTCTCCTCTGAACATACAACAACATGCCATTAGCTAACATAAGGTCAATATCTACTCAAATAAACTAAGTTCTTTTAGGGCATAGGCTTTTTCTTACCCAAAGCTATTGCAGTAGATGACAGAACCAAGATGGTAAATTATCTATGTAGCCTGGAACTACAAATTCAAATTCAAAAAATAAAACTTAACAAGCATGCATGAAATCTGCACTTGGAGGTAAGTATTATGACGGCACATAACAACAACAACATTAACTGTGTAAATGCTGAACAGGATATCTCCAGCATGACAGTAATTTGTGTGAAAAGAGATTTCACGGATTGCTTTAGGTAGGCAAACAGGGAGAAACTCTAATGATTAAGGGACATGGTAGTTCCACAGTGCAGTGCTGGGTTCATCGAGTCTGGAGAGTCAGCCCCAGTGATTTAGTGCCTCACTGTCACAGGTCTTCAGCCTACTCTCTTTTGGAAACAGTTCCAACCTTCTTCCTCTCAATATTCCCAACTCCTGTCTGAGGAGCCCATTTTCTGTGCATCTCCACTGTCCTGCCTCCACATCCTTTCTTATCTGCCCCCCCTGCCTCTGTATTGTGGTACCCTGTCCTCCTCCATGGATTAGTGGCCTCTGGCACCCAAGAGATTCAGTAAGCTGAAAGCAGAAAGCCTTAGGACTCAAGGGATGATCAAAGGAAAGAGTGTAGTAATGTCCAGGAAGGGATCTCTGGATGGTGGGGAATCAGAGGAAGGACTGTGCTACTTATGTATAATGAATATTGATCTGTAAATAGATGGCATCAGGAAAAAGCTGATCATATAGAAAAGTTTTTTTTTTTTTTTAAATAGAAAACAGTTTTGTTTAGCCATAGTAAAAGTTATTTACACAATGATGTACCGTTTATTCCTAATAATCATGTGGTACCATGGCCATTATACATACACATATTTGATTAACTTGTCCGAATTGTGCTTGATTATAGTCCTGAATTCTGTTCATGGGTTCTAAGCCCTTGTTATATATTTCTCTTAGAGCTTAATTGTCACTTCAGGTAGCAAATTAAACTGCTCAGACTTTAAGAAAGTTAGAGCTTACATTGCATATAAAAATAGGAAAGTATGTATAATGACCTCAAAATTTCTGGAGTTTGTTCATTTATATTGTTTGGTTTTGACTACAGTATCAGCACATTGTATTAAATTTTTACCTCTTTATTCTTAAAACCATTTATTTCAAAAATTGATTTAATTAAGATTTCTTGTTAGCTAACTCCCATTTAATCCAGGCTTTACTTGGCTATGGCAGTCTTTGGAGTCCTGGGGTGGCACAAACAGTTAAGCACTCAACTACTAGCCAAAGGTTAGCAGTTTGAATCCACCCAGAGGGGCCTCAGAAGACTGTCCTGGCAGTCTGCTTCCAAAAGGTCGCAGCCTGGAAAACTGTATGGAGCAGTTCTACTCTGTGCACATGGGGTCACCATGAGCAGAATCAACTGATGGCAACTAACGACAACAACAAGGAATTTCGATAGCACTCACTGAGTCATCCTGCTCTTCAGCCATTCTTTCCTATGCAAGTCTTCTTTGTCACTGAGCGGTGAACTTTCTCTCCAGTACCTAGGACAGACTTTTGCTTAATACAAGTGCTAATAAAGGTTAGATGAGTGCATGAGTTACTGTCCATATGGTTGTACTGTCATAACAGGTTAACATAGCAAAAGGAAAGCTTTAAGAAGCAATGAGGAGAGAGGTGCCAGGGCAATAAATGGACATTTTTATAGATTCTTACCATTTGTAAAACAGTTTAAAAGACCATTAGCTTGAGTTTGTAATCTACTGTTTGTGTGTGTGTGTGTGTGTGTGTGTGATTTGGGTGAAAGTTTACAGAGCAAATTTACTTTCTGTATAGCAGTTCACACACACGTTGTCTCATGACATTGACTACAGTTTACCACAATGCAATAGCTCGCCTCCCACTTCCTCCCCATAGTTACCTCTTCCCTGTGTCCATCCATACACTCCTGCCCTATGAGCTGTCTCCCTGTGCAATAACAGCCCTTCTTTCTCCCATGATTATTCTCTCCAAGGAGAATAGAATCTACCTCAGGTAAATGTTCAACTCATATGCCTGTCTTTAGTTTGACTGGAAGCCATAGGTATGGGTTCAGTTCCACACCTGAACAGCAGCTAGGAACCATAGTCTCAGTGGTTCCTCCAGGCTCTATCAGACCAGCAAACCTGGTTCCCCCCCTCCCTTTTTTTTCCCAAATGATGGTGAGTTTTGTTCTACATTGTTCTCCCTCTCTATCCAGGATCTCCTACATAGATCCCTCTCCTAGTGGTTGACAGTGGTAGCTGGACACCATCTAGTTCTTCTGGTCTCATAGTCATATAGGCTGAGGATCTCATGGTGTACCAGTCGCTAGGACTAATTGTTTCCATGAACCTTTGGTTTTCTTCATTCTTCTTTGCTTTGGACAAGGAGAGACCCATCACTGCATCTAGATGGCTGCTTGCAAGCTTTTAAGATCCCAGTCACTACTCACCAAAGTAGGAAGTGGAACATTGTTTTGTGTAGTATGTTATGCCAATTGAGCTTGATGTCCTCTGCAACTGTGGTCCCAAGCCCACAGGTTCAGATACCCTTGGGTAGCTGGCTGTGACCAAGAAGTGAGTACAGTCTTGTCCCTTGTCAGCTCTACTATACCCCCGGCAATTCTTACAAAACATACAAATACACTTGGAGAACCATTGTCTCCCAACCCTATACATGGTCTTGGGTATACTCCCTACTGCATAGACATACCTAATAGTTTAGCCTGTCCACCCATCTATCCACCCATATACCCGTGTTTGCCTTCACTGACAACGCAGTACTGTATGTGCAAAAGGGTTCATCTTTGTTGTCTGTACCTCCCATGTACCTCTCCATGTCTTCCTCTTTCTCAGTGCCACCATGTTGATCACTCACATTTGGTACATTGCCCTTCTCTTCACCCAAATCAATATTTACCTCTACCTATCTAACAGTGTTCTCTACCCTACCATCCCACCTCTGGTAAACAACAAAGAAAATTTCCTTCCATATATAAACCATTCCTTGACTTTTACAATAACGGGCTAATACAATATTTGTCCTTCTGATTGACTTATTTCACTTAGCATAATGTCCTCCAAGTTCATCCATGTTATGCGGTGTTTTGCAGATTCTACATTTTTCTTTAGGGTTGCATAGTATTCCATTGTGTGTATGTTGTAATCTACTCTTAATGACACTTAAGTGTACCTGTAGAGTCTGGGCTCTGTTTTTCTAAGTGCAAAGAAAAATCCATATTTATGAGATCTGCATCTGTTGCTCATTCATCTTAGACCTCAAACAACCCCAAAGAGCTTAATGCCTATGGTTCTGCTTAACTTCTCAGGGTGTAGTTTATACTCTTTTCCACAGCTTTGAGTACTGATGGAGAAGAAATGAACAGAAAATTAATCTAAGAGGGACTGGCACAATGGACAAACAGAAACTGAAGAACAGTAAGAAAAGCATTTGTCAGAGACTGGGCCAAAGGATTCATCTTGACATTTTAATCTCTGCAGAAAGTTGAGGAAAAAGAATGAAACTGCCTTCAGAACTATACAGAGCTTCTCTCTTCTGGCTAACGCAGCACTATCTTACCCATCATGCTTGTGCCCTTTAAGGGATCCTCTTTGTACCTGAATGTCTTCCTCTGCAAAATAGAATAAAAATACATGCTCTCCTGCCATGTGGAAAGTGAGTTTGCTCTGTAAACTTTCACCCAAATCACAATTGGTTGGTTGGTTGGTATGTGCTGTCGAGTCGAACCTGACTCATAGCGACCCCTCCTTGGGTTTCCTTAGGCACTATGCTACCAGAGCTCCTTTAGGAAAAAAAAAAAAAAAAAGCTCTCTTCTGCCTGGAGATCATGTGAAAACCAAATGAAATAACTGGTGTAAGACATTTTAAAATGTTAAAAGATCATTACAAATACTAGGTTACAATCTCCCCCTGTGTATGTGATTAGATAGTCTTGCTTCCAGTTATTTATGCTGTTGGGTCATTCCTAAATCAAATTATAGGTGTTAATCAAGCTTCTTTGCTCCAGCAACATTGATTACTATAGACCAAGTCTTGCCTTGTTCTCTTCTAAACTAAATTTCCTAAACCCATTTTCTGTATCTTGCTGTATATTTCCACTTGTCATCCATTATCTTCCTTTCTAAAAAATCTTGTTCCTGTTTTAGTCTCTTTCTGGTAGCTTAGTGTATAAGGCACTTGACTGCTAACCAGAATACTGGTGGTTCAAACCCACCAGCCACTCCTTGGAAGGAAGGTTGGGCAATCTACTTCCGTAGTGATACTGCCTCGGAAACCCGAGGAGGGGTGGCTATGAGTCGGGTCCCACTTGACGGCATGTAACAACAACATAATCTGTTGGTAAAAGCCTCTATTGTGCTGCCTTCAGATTAATATCATTTATGTTTTAGACTTTGATTAATCTCCTGACTCCCTTTATCTTAATTCTTGGATTTTTTAAGCAGATGTAGGCCTGCCATAATTTTTAAAAGTAGCCAAAGTTCAATGTCCACATCTCTTGCCATTCACTGCTTTTCCCATTTGGCATTTTCTCTACGGGCCTAGTACCCTCGTGCTGCACAATAGTTGGCTACTCAAGGTGCACTTAATATGAGAAACAGATTGATCTTTTTTCTAATCTACTTCACAACATAATCCATTTTGTATCTTATGTCGTAAGATTTTGCCACTGGGTCAGGATAAGTTTGTGTTAATGTCTCAGAGTCTTACTACTTCTTGTGAGCTGATATTGTGCATCTGAATAGAAGTCTTCAGGAGAAATAACCTTAACCCAAAGGAATGAAATTGTTAGTAGTGAAGTAACCCCACTGAAAGCAGTGAGCACTCAGTCCCTGAAAGTATTTCAGCTGAGTTGGATGACCACTTCCAAAGACTGAGCTAGAAGATTTCTTTACCTTCTAATTCTAAAGAACCTATGAGTGACTCTAATGTTGGCAGTTTCAAGCATTTTTGCAAGCCAGTCCAGTCTCTCCCAGTAGTGTTTGTGTCTCTGCACCCCCACTTCCATAATACAGACTATTCTTTCCACTTTCCCAGCAGTTGCCTTTAGCTTTTCATATCTAAGAGCATTTCCTTGGCAAACCACAGTTCTGTATGAAAGGAGGGATGGAGCTTAGAGAATGTGCATTTGACAGTTTACACACCCAAAGTATATTAAGTGAGCTTTGTACCTTGGCCATCAAAATTTACACAATAAACAAAATTTGCATGTTGCTAAGCAACAACTTTTCCCCATTCTTGACCTCAGTGAAGCTATTTGACCTCTGGACTTCAGAAATCTTAAATTCCACCCTGCTTGTAGAACATGATTTAGTGGTTCTGGCTGAAGCAGCTCCTTATTTCTGCCCTATACTTATTTCCCATGGCTTGCATTTCATCTTCTATGCCTGCATCTCCAACATGAACCTAGCAGCCTTGGGTGTTTTCTCAGGATTACTAGTATCGTACTCTTCTGTGGGCATACCCCATATGCTAAGATCTCATACCAGGAGCAACACTGACTGATCCTAATGTAGATACATAGCTAGTGTAACTCCAAAGAGAAAGTTACCCTCTATAGAATGGTGAAGACTCCACAGATCCTATATTATATATGAATAATAAGAGTATCTTTATCTAGTAATAAGATATGACTCTTTAAAAAAGAGTTCCAGGTTTGGGGATGTGTTTTATGTGAATATACAGAGTTGAGAAACATTTGGAGACTATATCTGTGCCAGTATTCAAGTATTACTATTCTTGTATGGACGAATTTAGCCTGTAGGATAAAGGCAGGTTTGGTATGAACTGTTTCTTATAAGAATAATTAAAAAAAAAAAAAAAAATAGAATTAAAAATTGAAGAACTTTTTATTGAGAAGAAAAAAAAAAGTGCCTTTTAAGGTACTACAGTTGTTTTGTGTTCAATCCCTGTTCTTCCCAAGGACTTTATAATATTTAGTCATTTGTGGTAGTTTCTAATATAGAAATATATGGTAGCATTTTGATTCTTACCTCTCATCTTTTACCTGAATTATAACCATTTAAATAGATTTAATATCACTTTTATTGAAAAATTTAGGTTTTTCTTGTTCTTCTTTAATGTGGGATTTAATAATATGAGGGGCAAACGACAGAAAAGGAGGTAAGTATAAGAGTTTATTGACCAGGTGACTAAGTAATAAAGGTGACTGTTATTTTTCTGCTGAAGGAAGGAAGGGCATATACAAACATGACATTTAGTCATTCTTTTTCACCCCAGAAAATAGAAAATATATGTTGTAAGATTAGTAAGAAAGGTGGCTAGTTGCTTTAACTATCAGGATGAGGGAAAGAAATATGACCACAAATAAACTCGGAGAAGAGGTGAATGGATTTCTGTTTTCTTCATTAAACGTGTTTTGCTTTTGTTTCCCCTCTGTCTCTATCTCTGATTAGACCCTAGTAGCCTCGGAAACCCAAGGAGGGGTTGCTATGAGTTGGGGTCGACTCATGGCAAATAACAGCAACAACAACAACAGCCTGCGTCCCAGTTTGGCTCCCTAAGGGCCCTTCTATCCGTTGAAAAGAAAAAGCCCCAAAGACCCTTTCCTTGGCCATGTCATCTCTTTACTGCCTCTTGCTTATACTGTATGTGTTTTTCATTTGCAGGTCTGTGGCTGTCCTCTTTATTGGAAAGCCCCCGTGTTTAGGGCTGCAGGGGGAGAAAGGACAGGATTTGTGTCAGCACAGTCATTCCTTGAAATGTGGAGAAAGTAAGTATGTGCACAGTCATTGAGGGGCTAGGCAGACTTAGGTTATCCTCATGACATACTTTATAAATATCATTTATTTAACTCATTTACTCATTTTCCCTTTGTACTTTATTTTGACAAGTAAAAGTCAATGATCACAACCATTTATATCCACATGAAAGTTGTTGGCCACAAGCCTTTATCTTGTTGTTGTTAGGTGCCATTGAATTGGTTTTGACTGAGAGCAACACAGTGCACACACACAAAAAAATAATACCCAGTCCTGTGCCATCCTTACAGTCGTTGCTATGTTGAGCCCATTGTTGGAACCACTTTTTTACTCACCTTCTACTTTACCAAGTATGATGTCCTTCTTCAGTGACTGATCCCTCCTGATAACATCCAAAGTATGTGAGACAAAGTCTCTTCATTTCTTGCTTCTCAGGAGCATTTTGGCTATAATTCTTCTAAGACAGATTTGTTTGTTCTTCTCATAGTCTGTGGTATATTCGGTATTCTTTTCCATCCCCATAATTCAAAGGCATTCAGTCATCCTTATTCATTGTTCAGCTTTCACATGCATATGAAGCTATCAGATAGACCATGGCTTGGGTCTGGTGCATCTTAGTCCTCAGAGTGATATATTTGCTTTTCTAACATTTTAAAGAGGTCTTTTGCAGTAGATTTGCTCAGTGCATTACATCCTTTGATTTCTTGACTGCTGCTTCTGTGGGCATGGATTGTGGGTCAAAGTGGAATCCTTGACAACTTCAGTCTTTTCTCCGTTTATTATTATGTTGCTTATTGGTCCAGTTGTGAGGATTTTTCTTTTCTTTATGTTGAGATGTAATCCATACAGGAAGCTGTAGTCTTCAATCTTCATCAATAGGTGCTTCAAGTCTTCTTCATTTTCAGCAAGCATACTGCAAGTTTTTAATGAATTTTCCTCTAATCCTGATGCTGTGTTCTTACTCATGTAGTCCAGCTGCTTAGATTATTTCCTCAGCACACAGACTGAATAAATATGGTAAAAAGATCGTCCCTGCTGAGCACCTTTTCTGATTTTAAGCCACATGGTATTCCTTTGTTCTATTTGTAGTGAAGGCCTGTTTCTTGGTCTGTGTACAGGTTTCATATGAGGACAATGAGCACGTGAGTTCTGGAATTCCCATTCTTCTCAGCGTTATCCATAATTTGTTATGATCCACACAGTTAAATGCCTTTGCATAGTCAATAAAACACAGGTAAACATCTTTCTGGTATTCTCTGCTTTCAGCCAAGATCCATCTGATACCAGCAATGATGTCCCTCATTCCTTACCCTCCTCTGAAGCTGGCTTGAATTTCTGACAGTTCCCTGTTGATGTACTACTGCAACCATTTTGAATTGACTTGAGCAAAGTTTTCCTTGTGTATGATATTAATGATATTCAATAACTTCTGCATTCTGCTAGATGACCTTTGTTTGGGATGGGCACAAATAGGAATCTCTTGTCTTTGGCCTAGTAGCTGTTTTCCAAACTTCTTTGCAGAGATAAGTGAGTGTTTCCATCTTTGCATCCATGTGTTGAAACATCTCAGTTGGCATTCTGTGAATTCCTGGAGCCCTGTTTTCTGCCAGTGCCTTCAGTGCAGCTTGGGCTTCTTCCTTCAGTCTCACTCGTTCTTGATCATATGCTACCTTCTGAAATGGTTGAAAGTCAACCAATCCCACCCCCCTTCAGTGACTCTGTGTACTCTTTCCATCTTCTTTTGATGCTTCCTGAGTCATTCAATATTTTGTTCATAGAATCCTTCAGTATTACAACTCAAGGCTTATATTTTTCCTTCAATTCCTTAAACTTGCAAAATGCTAAATGTGTTGTTCCCTTTTGGTTTTCTAACTCCAGGTGTTTGCATATTTCATTATAATACTTTCCTTTGTGTTCTTGAGCGCCCTTTGAAATCTTCTGTTCAGCTCTTTTACTTCATTGTTTCCTCCATTTGCTTTAGCTAGTCTATGTTCAAGAGCAAGTCTCAGAGTCTCTTCTGACTTCTATTTTGCTCTTTTCTTTCTATTCTGTCTTTTTAATGACATTTTGTTTTCTTCGTGTATTGTGTCCTTAATGTCATCACAACTCATCTGTTCTTCAGACATTAGTGTTCAGTGCATCAAATTTGTAACTGAGATAGTATCTAAATTCAGTGGGGAGAGGTAAACTTAAGGTCATAATTTGGCTTTCATGGACTTGTTTTAATTTCCTTCAGCTTCAACTTGAACTTACATACGAGCAATTGATGATCTGTTCTGCAATTACCCCTGGCCTGGTTCTGACTGATGATATTGAGCTTCTCCATTCTCTTTACACAGAAGTAGTTGATTTGATTCTTGTGTATTCCATCTGGTGAGGTCCACATGTATAGGCCCCATTTATGTTACTGAAAAAAAGCTGTGTTCAGTGAATAGGTCTTTGGTCTTGCCAAATTTTATCATGGAATCTCTGGTGTCATTTGTATCACCAAGGCCATATTTTCCAATTACTGATCTTTGTTTAGGAGCTCTGGTAGCATAGTGCCTAAGGCATTTGACTGCTAACCAGAAGGCTGGTGGTTCAAACCCACCAGCCACTCCTTGGAAGGAAGGGTGGGCGATCTACTTCTTTAGTGATACCACCTCAGAAACCCAAGGAAGGGTCTGTATGAGTTGGATCTGACTTGACGGCAGTGAGGTCGGCTGGTTGGTTGATCCTTCTTTGTTTCTAACATTACATTCCAATCACCAATAATTATCAGTACTTCTGTCAGTTTTTCATATTTTGGTAGCTTGCGTATGTTGTGGCTATTAGGCTGGAAGCTATGCCACTAGTATTTCAAATACCAGCAGGTCACCCGTGGTGGACAGGTTTCATTGCAGCTTTCAGACTAAGACAAACTAGGAAGAAGAACCTGGTGATCTAATTCTATAAAAAACTGGCCAGTGATAACCTTATAAATAGCAGTGAAACATCTGATACAGTGCTGCAAGATGAGCCCCTCATATTGGAAGGCATTCAAAATATGACTGGGGAAGACTTACCTCCTCAAAGTAGAGTTGACCTTAATGACATGGATGAAGTAAAGCTTTTGGGACCTTCATTTGCTGATTGGGCATGACTCAAAATGGGAAGACACAGCTGCAAACATCCATTAATTATCAGGGACGTGGAATGTATGAAGTATAAACCTAGGAAAATTGGGAGTTGTCAGAAATGAGATGGAACACTTGAATATAGATATCCTAGGCATTGGGCCTGTAAGTGTAGACCACTTTGATGAAGTAGAGGAATCCAACTGATTTTTGTACATTGACTTTGACACTCCGGACCTGGACGACTGAAAAGGTGCGACATTCCCCTTGTTACTCTTACACCCCACACCCGCTTGGTGAACAAAAGTTCGGCCATCCTCTACTCCCACCCACCTTCTGGTCCTGCAGGAACTCCATCCCACTCTGTGTGCTTGGACGGAGCCTGAGTGCCCTGCCCTCTCCTCCCCCGATTTTTTTTTTCTTCTTCTCTCTTTCCTTTTTCGTTTTTTAGTTTGCTTGCTTTTGTCTGTTTTAAAACTACTACTATTATTAATACTTTTGCCCATTTTATTATCATTTATTTTTCCCCTCCCAGGTCCTAGTTTTCAGCTTTTTTCTTTTACCTGTTACTGGTTGCAATTTTTTTTTTTTTTCCTCATGGTTAACCCCGTTCTTTGTTTTTCTTTTTGCATTTTTCCCATTTTTTTCTTCATTATTCTCCTCTGCCTTTTTTCTCTTATTGCCCTATCCCCAGATATTGCAGGTTTTCTTGTTTTTTTTTTTTCGCTGACCTTCTTGTTTCTCCAGATGGTGCAGCCATTTTGATTGTTTACATGTGGCAGCCATGTTGGATATTTAAAGTGACTGAGGGCACAGCCATTTTGAATGTTTACAAGCGGCAGCCATTTTGGATATTTAAAGTGACCGAGGGCACAGCCATTTTGAATGTTTACAGGCGGTGGCAATTTTGGATATTTAAAGTGACTAAGGAGCTCTGGTAGCATAGTGGCTAAAGCACTTGACTGCTAACCAGAAGGCTGGCGGTTCAAACCCACCAGCCACTCCCGGAAGGAAGGTTGGGCAATCCTACTTCCGTAGTGATACTGCCT